GCGATGCGATATACGATCGAACGATCGAGCGTTAAAGTAAAGTATGTAGTAAATAAAGGATACAAAAATATGTGAAATGCTTGCGTCGTGTCACGTGTGAGTGGTCCATTATTATCTTCAATATTTGAAAATGAAAATATCTTTTGGCAACCATATAAAATATATATATTACATTAATATTTGAAAATGAAACTCATGCCATTGACTGTGTTTACGTCGTCATCTCTAACTAATATTAAGTGTAGGTAGATAAGTAATAATCAGTAGAGCAAGTACATGAAACTCCAACATCGTCCAGAAATAAATGCTCAAAATCACTTTGTATTATAATAAACCAACTCCAAACCTTACCCTCTCCTTTCGCCGCATCACAGGGGCCGGGGTCTCTCTCCTCCTCCTCTCTTCTCCTATTTTAAGTTTTGATTTTGTATTATTTTAAAAGTTGAAGATGACATAATATTGGGGCTTAATTGGTGATTCATTTATATAACCTTCATGATGGACATCACATATATATCCACCATCGCACACGATGGAGTATTATTATTAATTAGTGATTGATTAACGACAATGGAGCCAGCTAATTAAACAATCTAATCTAGTTAAAATGTTCACGGGGATGGGATATAGCACATGCAACTACAAAGTGGGTTGGTTTGGTTAAGTCAAGGATTCCACAGCAATTCTCTTAATAATTCAATTTACCTATCAGCCTCAAATATATATGAGAGAGAGAGAGAGAGAGAGAGAGAGAGAGAATTTCCTTAGAAATTTGCATGTGTGTGCTCCTTCAAAAATGGTTCACCCTCCGGTCTATAAACTGCATATACTTTGGATTATGTGTGGGGCGGCATGACATATTGATATTGACGTTGACCCCATAATAAGCAAAAGCAAAAATGTAATGTATTACTTTTCCTAAGGAAATCAAATGTTACTTTCATAAACGTCAGCTTTTACTTTTTTTTTTTGTAATTTTAAATTCCGATGACAAATATCACAACTGGGGTAAGTTCAGTTCATTTGGTTTTTTTTCTATTTTAAATTTTTCTTTCTTTTCTTGTTTGCTCAAACTCCGCCAATGTACGTATGTGTTGATGAGTACGAATGCACAATGTTAGCTTTAAAATTCAAATATTACCTTTTACAGACTCCTCTCATAATTTGAATCACGAATTAATGGAGAATGACATGGACTTCAACCAGCCAAAAGTTCCCAAGACTGTAAATTCCATTCTGAAATTTCATTATAAGCTTCTGATGAGTCACACACATATATATATATATGATCGCACTCAAGATGGAGATAGCAATTTCCCTTCTTTTTTTTTGGGTGCTTGATTTATTGATTATGGTTTTGTTAACTCAATTATTCTGTTTAATTTTAGTATAATCCTGAAATTAGCGTTTTCGAATCGAGTCTTGTTATATTAATTAATTTAACACTTGTACGTACATTCATATATAATTGAGTACGAATATTTCTGCAATGCATGTAGATGTAGGTAGCAAGAAGATGCATGGTGATTATAAAAAGCATCACCCCAATAGATTGTTTGGATTGAGCTGGGCCAGCTTGTCAGCATATATATATATATATATATATATATATATATATATATATATATATATATATATATATATATATATTCTTCGTTTTATATTTTTCTGAAAATCTGCCTTACTAATTAGCACATGCATGCATGCTTATGTTCTACTCTGTTCATGAATCATGACATGTGACAAATTGCCTAATTCGCATGAATTTATAATTAATTTATTATTGTCATGGAAAAATAAGTTTATTGCCCGTACTTTATGATTGCATTATTATTGAACAACTATCATCTGCTAATTAGGACAACCCAAATGATGTCAGGATCGACGTCAATCTTTGATTCATATACAAGCAAGGTTTCTCAATTAATTATATATATATGTATTTGACTTGATCTTCCTTAAGCTTAAAATTAAGGAGATTTTTAACCGGATGTGGTTAAAGGAGCTAAGTAATCACAATCAGAATGAGCACATTAGATTTTTCGATTGTCATTACTTCAAAACCGCGACGTCCGCGCCGACGTGGATTAATAACAATTTAACATGGAATTTGCTACTATAAATTGTGGAAAGGGAAAAGAAAAAAAACACAAACACACACATAAGAACAAATGGCTGGCTAGATGTCACATGCCAGGGCGGCAGGCACAGCAGCCAGTAAACTCTTAATTAACATTTCGGCAGGCATATATTCGTTTGGTCATTTTCTATTCTCTTAATAATAATATAGTTTCAAGTAACTAATGAATGAATATTCAGAATTATCTTTAAAATTAAAAGATGTGCATGCAGTCACTAAGCTTCAGCCACGCGAAGTAATGAAAATGCGATTATTTTAAAATAAGATTCTTTTGACTCTCAAATTTTAATAATTTTAGGCTTGGTTTCCATGCATTCAATGCAGCGAAGAGTGCCGGCCTAATTAAATTGTTCATAAGATAAGATATAGTTAATTGATTAATAAGTCCCATAAGCCATGCAAATATATATATATATATTTTAAATTTGATATTCCAAAGGCCTACCCACCACAGCATGCAGTCAGTAATGTTAAATTATAGGATACTTGTTGCATTTCCATGCCTGCGTAGAGCTGCACTGCATTTCCATTGTCTTTCATAAGCTGTCTTTTATGCAAAATTCCTTCGTAGCTTCCTTAGACAAAATTCCTTAATCAGTAGTGACCCGTGGATGTAAACTAAAGCAATCTTGAAATGAACACACATGTCGCAATATCAATGAATGAAAAGATTTTCTCTTATAAAAATATCAAGTATTCTCTATGTAGACAAGTTAGGCAATACTGTAGAATAAGAAAAATAAGGTCAACCATCGTCTTCTTGATGCAGGGCAGGGCCTCCCTCCTTCCCTCCCTCCCTCCAGCTATACAAGCAGTGTCTTATCTATTTGGTGGCATCCTGGCACATTTATCTGCATGGGGATCATCTCTATGATTCATTTGACCAACCAACAAGGCTACTAAAATATTGCCAACTTAATTCAAGACTTCAACGCTTGAGTCAACCACGTAATTAATTAATTTTCCAGGAGTAAAGGCCACTCCAGCAATTCAAACTCCTAAATCAATAATTTGTTTATAATTAATCACTAATTATATACGTATATACATTTGTATCTAGCTAGTTAGGTGGCTAGTTACGAGGTTTGACAGAGTGTGCCCGTGCCGGCTTAATCGAGATTAAGCATTGCATCTGCAAGAACTTGTAGTTAAGTTAAAGGGCTTCAAATATATTCATCTTTTTAGTTTGATGCATGCATCCTAATTCCAATATATATATACATATTTTATTTGAGGGACACCTTCTAAGGTACCCTACGAAATGTTTTTCAACGGTCCAAACCATCTATTTTTCACATATTCATTTAGTGATCATCCTTGCAAAAAATCATGTAAGTTGAATCATTAAGGCATCTAATTAAGATAAACAAAATCAATAAACACGGTACTTTGAGAAAGTAAATTTCAAAAATGTAATTGAGTGATCAAATAATATCGGATTCAAGTGATATTTTGTAAGGATGATCTTTGAATGAATATCTACATAATAGACGGTTTATATTAATAAAATACAATGCGGAGTGAGCCCTGTAAGGATGTCCCTCAATGGAATATATATATACACATACATACGTGTTTTCAACCAATTTATTTTAATAACAACTTTTTTATTCATTGATTATTTTGACCTTATTCCCCTCCAAAATCTAATGAGTTTCATTTTGATGTTGATCTGTTGTTGCAACAAAATATATGCTTTACTTATAGTTAATTAATAGTTAAGCGGATGTTAAAAGTCAATGGCAAGCAAAGAACTGAAACCAAAAGTCAAAACAAGCCCCATTATATTTTTGTAACTCAAAGGAAAGTCAAACTCAGTTGTCGTTATTAGCTGCTCAGCTCCATATAGAATAACTTTCTTTTAAATAATTTTTATGGGTTCAATCCAACATATAGAATAATAAGTGGAATATGAACCTAAAGAAATTAAAGAAAAAAAACCAAATATATGATGATAACCTTTTCTATGAGTATGATGGGAATATTTTGGACGTAATTAATTTAAAATATTAACCTTTACTTGTTACTCAGACCTTGGCATGTGATAATGTGCTCATGATGATGATGAATTAAGCTAATAAGGAATAATGGGATATGATTCCCTCTGCAGTTTCCAATTTCCAATTCTGATTTCTGAAATCTCTTGTAACAAAGAAAAGCAGCAGATGATAAGATGATATGTGTGTGTATATATATATATATATAGAGAGAGAGAGAGAGAGAGAGAGAGAGAGAGAGAGCGCTTGGAAATTAAGGGAATTATTAGGTCACGTCAGGCTCAGAGTCTTGAAACTGACTGCCTAAAAGGAGTGAAATTGGCTGGTGGTTTAGGGATCATTTTATGCAAGTTGAGTCGCAAGTTGCAGTTTTTATGTGGTGTGAGTATATGCTCTTTAATTAGAATTAGTCTTTTTGTTTCAATTCAACAGTATTAGTAAGATTCCCAATTTCAGGAGCAGGGCTCTCCTTACTTTATACTCAATTAATTGCATTGCATGTGATTATTCATAATCAACTCACTAATCACTAATTAACTGATGACTAACACATCACCATGGTGCCCAAAAACGTGCATACATAAGACCAGGTCTTGAACTTGCAGTTGCAGCCAGCCGGCCTCTTGCACCGGCCAGCTAGCCGTCGTATCTACTTTGGTCCGGCCAATCAATGCACTCACTCAAATTTCAGTAAGTATTATTGAATATCATGATAACTTGAATTAGACTCACCCTTTTAAAATGATTTTAGTTTTTTCTTTTCTTTTTTGCGGGGTTTGGTAACCTTAACATGGATCTTTGAAACAATAGTTAATTAGCAAATCATGAAAAAATAAATTTAAGGAATTTTTTTGGGTCTGTGGTTAATAAATCTTGTTTCGATTTATCTTTGTATCCGAGTACAAAATACAGAGAGAGGGTTGGGATTGTCTGTTCCTGACCAAGTTGTAATTTGGCTACTTCCTCTGAAATTCAGCAGTGTACAACAGATTTTGCAGTTGAATTTCAGTGGAAGTGTCAAAAAAAAACTCCTGGAAAGACAGTCCTGCCAATAGAAATATCCTCCCAAATCCAAAAAAGAACAAAACTAACTCTTCTTCGTCTACATGCACATTGCACCCACCCACTACTATACAGCTTAGGACAAAACCCAAAGAAACAAAAAAATCAAAGACAAAAAAAAGGTGATTAAAAACTAAACTAAACATGTGAGTTATTATTATTATTATTATTATTAGCGTAATCTAAACAATCTTCCTTGATTTTAGCTTTCCTTGGCTTGTCTTCCTCAACCTCTTCGCTGTCATCAACCACCTCCTCAGCCCCGGTCAGCTGTTTGGCTTTCTGAGCTTCAAACTCCCAATCTGTAACACCTAAAACCACCAGCATGGTCAGAGCACAGCATCCCTGTGCAGCCAACAGGCCTAGCCACAGCCCCTGAAAATCCAACTCAAGAACGAAACCCAACCCCACAGCCACTGGCATTCCCACTAGGTAAAAGCACCCCAAGTTTATGTTTGCTCCAACTTTAGGCCTCGCTGTGCCTCTCAGAACTCCACAGCCTGTTGTTTGTGGGCAATTTCCAAGCTCACAGAGACCAATTATAGGCAAAACCATTGATGTTAATTTTATTATCTCCTTGTCCTGTGTGAACATGCTTGCCCAAATGTTCCTCACCACGACTGCAAAGATCAGAGCTACAAGGCCTAGTATGAAGCTGCAACACAGGCCTACAATGGCTGCAATCTTTGCTTTTTTCGGTTGGTTTGCGCCTATTTCGTTGCCAACCCTTGTGGACACACTGAAGCTTAGGGACGAGGGGAATATGTAGATCAGAGAAGTGGTTTGGATCAAAATGCCCATTGAAGCAACAGTGGCTCTTGGGTTTAACAGCAAACCACAGAGCAAAATCATGATCTCATACCACCACCATTCTAGGCACACAGAAATGCAGCTTGGCACTGCCAAATTGAGAAGAGTCCTCCATTCCCTGAAGCAGTCCATTGAAATCCCTCCCCAGGTTTTCTTGTGGACCCCAGAGATAATGATGTAGATGATTAAAGAAGCTACAAGATTGAAGTTAGACCAAACCCCACTTAGAGCCACACCTCTGATGCCTAAATTGAGGTACGAGACAAGAAAGTAATTGATGGGAATGTGAAGGATGATTGCTAGAGTGGCACAAAATGTTAGAGGCAGGGTAATAGATTGAGTTCTGAGGTAAATTCTCAAAGGGTGCAGTAAACACTGAGCAAGAAGGTCAGGGAGAGAACAGAGGAGGTAAAGTTGAGCTTCAGAGGCAATTGCTTCATCTTGGCCACAAAGGAGGAGGAGTTTCTTCATGTTTAGCCACAGAAGAGAAATGGGTAAGGATGTAAATATCAGAAGAAGTACTGTTCTCTGCAAAGAGAGGCCAAGCAGAGTATGCCTTTTGGCACCAAAAGCTTGACCACAAATGGGTTCCATTCCCATGGCAAGGCCAGAGAGAATCGAGTAACCGGTGATGTTAGCAAAGCCGACGGCGAGGGACCCGCCGGCTAAAGCGAGCTCGCCGAGACGGCCGAGGAAGAGCATGGAGATCATTGACCTGGAGTAAAGTAAAAGGCCAGTGAGTATCATGGGAAAAGCTATGCTGGCTATGGAATTGGCTTCTTTAAGAGCCAAGGAGAAATGGGATTTTTGGTGGGGTTTGTGTGTTTGGTGGTGTGCGTTTAGTTGTAGCTTCTTCTGTACTTGTTCTGGTTGGGATGTTGTGCTTTTGGAGATTAATGGGGTAGTGATTCTAAATTTATCCCCAAACCTTAAATTAAAGAAAGCCTCGAGACAGAAGAGAAGACGGATATACAGATTAACAACCGGATTAATATAATAAAGACAGTCAAAGTTCATAACGTTTTCGGTTAAGAGGCCATAATAGACACAGGCTAGGACAAAATATGCTGTTTGGAGTGTCTAGGCCAGTTATACATGGACTCAAATTTTTCAATAAATCCAAAAGCCCATCCATTTGGGCCCACCCCACCTATGCTGTCTGTCTTTGATACAAGGAAATTTTCAATAACATTTTAACTTAAAGCCAGACAGAGAAGAGAAGAGAAAGATTAATTTAAAATATGAGATACCCCCCTTTGCAAATGCCAGCCTAAAAAAACTTGTTTGCTTCATGGAAACGGCTCAACGCTTTTAACTTTTTGTTTATTTCTACAGTCTGTGGCTTATGGATAGGTCCAAAGAAAAGAAAGAAGCCGTCATTAAATCGTTCTTCTTGTTCATGATCGCATGCATTGCAATTTGCATTCAATCAATTCAAATTCAACCATGTTTCAACTGCAGCAGGCATATGTTTCAAGGGCAGGCGCCACAAGTACTTGGGTCTCCTACGGAACCTTTTCCATTCAAAACTTGCCACTTTTGGGCATCTTTTCTTGAGAATAGGAGACAAGTCTTTGGGGTTCAATTCACTCAACTCTAAGGGCACCATTTGGTTCAAACTCCATAGGCCATTGCCCAATAGGGAAGCTCTCCGGATGAAAAAATAATGTGCCATTTTCGATCAATAATACTATAATATATGGAAAAATTATCCCATGTATAATTACGTTATTGACAAAGAATTTGTTGCATGAAAGTGTTTCTCCCTCCGGATGATGTAAACTCTCACTTGCAAATCAATTTTGGAAAGGAAAAGGTCAACTTTTGTTGGGATTTTTCCTTTGAATGTGCCCCTTAAAAAAAATATATTATTATTCTAGTAAGCCTTTGAAAGTCCTGTTGCTTCAAGTCACTGCTCATTTGAGAGAAACGTTGCCAAGTGGATGGCAGCCATGGTTCCAACGCTCCCACACGGATGAGTGGGTTGGTCTCCTTACTGTTTTCAGCTCTCTTCCCACCCGTATAAGAAAGGTCATAACCCATAAGTAAGCCCATGGTAAGGCGCAAGGACTCATTTTGAGTCAAATTATTCAGACAAAGACAATGATTTAGTCATAAAAACGTGTAGAAAATTCTACACAAAAAGAAGTCTGCATGCTTTGATAATTTGGTTCGCAATTGTGCTTTGACCCAACAATTCGACTTCTCCTTCCTGCTTTTTGGACTATTCGATTATAACTTCAGCAAATTGCCCATCCAAACTCATTTGTAGTTATTAGGAGAACCTTTTTTTGTCATTTTTATGAGTCCAACTTTCGGTGGAACCTTCGACGTGAGTGTGAAGGTTCACAAGATACCCTAAAATGAGAACCAAGAAAAGACGTTACACAGATCAAATTAAAATGAGACATATAAAAAACAAATATTTAGAAAGAAAAAAAAGTATGCAAAAGCCAAAGTTGGAAGAAAAGAAAAAAACTGCCGACTAGATTTAGATGTTGCAAAAAGAGTCGCAATCAACCCAACCGTGTGAATATATGCCTAAAGAAGAAGCGAATGCCATGTTAACTTTGTACTCTTAACAATTGGGAGAAAAACAATCTCTTCCAATAAGAAGTTCTAAGCGATATGGAAAAAGTGAATTTGAACCTATAACTTTGAGTGCATGGATAAGTATTCTTAACCACTTGAACTACATTATTTAAAAACTAATTTAGTCTTGACTGATGAAGCTCATCACGATATGAAGAACTCAATGAAATATTTCATTGCGGAACTCAATGAAATCCAAATAAAGCAATTTGATGTTGATAATTAAGGCTAAGATCCAGCACCGACTAAATCTCTAATGTGGGCTGAAAGTGAGATACAAAGTTATACATAACATAATGAATCTTTGCCGACAATTAACATGCATGCCACAAAATTCTTCGGCATGCAATAAAAGCATTTGGACTATGTTGCAGGTGCAACTTAGAACTCAAACTCCCCCTCCCTCCGCCAGAGAAAAAGTTCAAAATCACAATTGGACTGAAGTTGGGATTTGTCGTGAAATTTCTAACTCCTTCATAATCTGTGTTGACAATGAAGAGACTTTTTTACAACTTTATTGTCTATATATATATATACCAATTAAGCACATGCATACATATATAATGTAGATGATGACTCAAAGTTAGTTGTATTTCTTTTACTTTTGACTAGTTGGTTCACGTAGCCAAATTATCAATCACAATCAAACAATTGGAAGACAATATATACCACAAGGGATCCTTATTGCATAAATAAAAGATGACAACAACATAAAACTAACAAGTTACAGAAAGCTCAGACATTGATGCTAATGATCAAGTTTCAAACTTGGTTCTTGGCTGATCTCAACAGAATCTAAAGAAATCTGCAATAGTGAACTCAGTCCTTTGTAATCAGCTGTAATCTTGGCTTTCTTTTTCTTTGAAAAGAAAACCGGTACAAAACAAAAAGGAGAAAAAAGTTAAGGAAACCTAGTTAATTTGGCTTTACAAAGCTGTACGTATTTAGAACAATAGTTTGAAAACAAAAAAGCTCTTGTACAAACCGCTACTTCCTTTAACGATAATGTCCTAGTCTTGTCCTTGGATCTAAAATGTCGAAAAAGTTACATGTAAATATATATATATATATAATAGTTCCAAATGAGATGATAAGCTTAATGGGGGGTCATGAGTCATTATTACCATTAATAATCCACCCGTTCACATTCTAATCCCAACCCAAAAAACGAATTAAGGATCCAAATTCAATGAGTCATTGTTGTAGTCAAGAAGATTTTGATTAGGATGTAATTATATGTTGAACATTGATTGGTCAATGAATTAGGGATATTATCTAAGATCAACTTCTTAAAGTTTCAGTCCCAACCCATAGATGAGTTCAAAACTAAACTCGATGAGTGCTAGCTCTTCTTAACTAAGAAAGCACTTTTGAGAGAAGCATATTAAAATTCCTTTTTTTGACTTCGTCTTCTCCCTAAAAGCCATTGTTGCATATTGTCTACTTCACCGAAAGCCATTCCCATTTGGTTGGTAGTGTGGGAAGAGACAGAAACAGGGTTTGAACTTTGAATTAGAGATTAGTGAGGGATTAATTTGCTTCATGTTCACACATGTATATTCTAAGTGTGGAAATCAATTTACACGTGTCAGCCCTCCATATACATCATATTCTAAGTTATCCGAATGTTTCACGCGTCAAAAATGGTCTTTTGTTTTGTCATATTCATATACTGATCGGCTGTAGTGACCAGAATGATATGATATATGGATAGTGTAGTAGTAACCATAATGATATGAAATTTAGCACGAGACCAAAAAATAAAAGACGACAGTTAACTGAGATTCCAATTCCACTTGGATCATCAAGTTTGCCCAAAGAAAAGATGGGATAACTGACCCCATCTTACCACTTTGGCTGTTGCTTTTGAACGGTCGGGAAAATATTAGGCAGTGAGCATTTCACAAAACCCAATTTTTGGTCTCAGAAAAACTGCCTTCAATCAAAAGCCATTGGATTGGACTTTACGGTGTTTATGCCGAAAGACCTAATTTATGTAGATGGATTCGTTATTGTCAAATATAATCATCGAATTGATTCATCATCACAACACATGGCTTAAGTCATTTTCTGTGATACTCCATCGTCAATCATGGGGCTCTTTCTTTTGGGTAACCACTAGCTTATTTATTTATTTATTTATAAAATGACATATCTCTCTTCCCTTGATAAAAAAAGTTAAAAACCGATAAAAACGAACAAAACAAACACGGGCACGGTGCATTTGTTAGGACATGGACATTGAGCCATGCCGGCATTGAGCACTTAACAAATCAATAACACAGGAAACAAAAATGCCACACAGCTGTAAGCAGACGGAGATCAAGGCCGGCCAAAAAATTTAGACATAAATCAAAGACCAATTGAGGAATTTCCAAACACAAAATAACCTACCTTACGAACGGAACAATCAAGAAATTGAAATTGAAATTGAAATTGTAAACAACCACTTGGGGGGCCAAATTCTGTATCAAGTTGCTTGTTCAATAGCAATAATAAGTTCCATAAAGTTTTGAGCAGAAACTAGTGCAGACAAGTATCTAGAAGCTACAACTCAGAAATAAGGCTACAAGAAACTACATAAGCTGTATTACGATTCGACTCTACAGACGGAGTTTCCAAGGGAACCACAAACTGCAGCATCTCACAACCAGACAGATCCAAACCACTGATCAAGATCATCATCATTCCTCAGCTTGTGGTGAACGGCTGCAGTTAACAACAAAAGAGATGTGTTAACAACAAAAGACAAGACTACATTTATTTACAAGTATGAATAACACAATTACTAATAATCCAGGCGACTCAGATTGTAATTCAAACCTGCTATATCTCTCCTGCATGGGGCTTTCAGGCCCACCATAGTTAGGGCTGTCCCCCCTAGCTTCAGGCACAGAATTGGGGCTTGGACCGCGACCATGTTCAGGGCTGACCCTCTCTCTTTCATAAGGACTGCTGCTGGGGCCCCGACCATTTTCAGGACTACTCCTATCTCTCTTATATGGACTCTGGATGGCGCCATTTTCAGGACTGCCCCTATCTCTCTTATATGGACTCTCGATGGCACCATTTTCAGGACTCTCCCTATCTCTCTTATATGGACTACGGATGGGAGCATGGCCATTGTCAGCCCCAGGTCTCTCTCTTCCATAAGGACTACGGCTACGATCACGGATACGGTCTGCACTCACCCTCTCTTTCCGGGGACTACGACTAGAGACCCGGCCATGATCAGATCTCTCCCTTCGATAGGGACTTGGGCTGCGGCCTCGGCCATAGTCTGGACTTACTCTCTCCCTTCGATAAGGACTTGGGCCACGGCCATAATCAGGACTACCCCTCTCTCTGCGGTAGGGACCAGGGCTAGGGCCACGGCCATAATCAGGGCTACCCCTCTCTCTTTTGTAGGGACTTGGGGATCTTCTTCTATCACGGCCTCTGTCTAGTGACCTATCACGACTTCTCCTATCAGGACTAAAGCCATCTCTTCTTTCATCATCATCACGAACTGCATACTCCACTGATATAACTCGATCCATCAGCTTGCTGCAAAAACACATTATCAGCCAATAACAAAATGACACACGAAATTTAAAAAATCTAGCACAATGCTTGCTCAGAGAGAGAGAGAGAGAGAGAGGGAGATATCCACCTCATGTTCGTAGCTTCCAATGCCCTAGTAGCATCTTCTTGTGACTCATACTGAACGAATGCAAAATTTCTTCTGATCCTAACACTCACAATTTTCCCATATGGATCAAAGTGCCTCTCCAAATCCTTGGTCCTAGTGTGATACGGATCAAAATTTATAACAAACAAGGTCTTTGAAGGTCTTGTATTAGTCGAAGATCTTCTTGAAGCACCCGGTCTTCTAGTACCACGTTCATGCTGCAATACAAACACAGAAGTGCTAAAACCTGTACACTCTGGAAAAAAAACCTGACAAACAGTAACAAAGCTAAATAAGGATAGAAATTGCCTACATTTGCTACCTTCGTCCATTCAACACGAAGCCTGCGTCCTTTTCTACCAAATTCTTTCCGATCAAGTCCCCGAATAGCATACTCAGCATCTCTCTCATCTTCCATGTAGATAAAAGCAAACCCTGTAAAAAACGTAAAGTAAATATTCTGAATAGATTGAAAACAAATTCCATGTGTTTTTACCAAACAAAGGTAAGCATTCCCTGTAAAAGGATTCTTCAATAAGAGGCGGCATTCCTCCGTTCAGCAATGTACAAACCACCTAAAATTCTATCCTAATTAAACAGTTTGGCAACCTCCGGGAAATCTACAAACTAAGTGACCAGTAAAATTAGTAACAGACCTTGTATTATGAACTAAGTGATGTCAAGGGACAACAATCCAAAAGTGGATGTCTCATGGTAGGTCAATGTAAAGATAGTGCCTTCTCCATCTAATCTGCTGCCTCTGCCATGGGATTGGGCAGTGTTTCAATCTTGAAACATGTCTGAAATTGAGGGCTGGGCGAAAGTCATGAGGAATGAAAGGCAATTGTGACTGTGGAAAATGTGGGATGGCGGTAGTGCAATGGCAGATCAGAGTGACTCTTCTTGAAAACAAGAAGAGGAAGCTCGTCACAGGCAAGACAAGGAATTCTGAAGAGCCCATCCACTAGCCTGGAAGAGAATGGATATCCCAAGATAATCCTGCGTCAAAGAAAATGTTGAGTATGGGGGTTTATGCGTCAAAATATACATGCTTTTTTTTCTTAAACGTATCCGGAACCCCCACAGGAACTCAACAAAGGAAGACTGCTGTCACTGAGAGATTTCTGGATGATTCTTCAATGCGACTGCCGATGAAACAACGTATAGGAAATGTCACCACTACAGATGCAGACGTGCCGTAGTTGAATTGCCTTTTCTGCTGTAAGGCCCAGAGCATTCTCACAGGGTATAATAATTTTTATGTGATTGTTATTACAAATTTAAAATCAATGCAAATTACATGCACATATGCAAAAATTTTAATCTCCTGTTCTGGTCATGAACAGACTTCCCGGACAGATTATTAAAATAATAATTTGAACTCTGCACTAAGTTCCTTCAAGGTAGCAAACTCAAAACTGCGTGAGAAAGGAATGCTAGATTGCGGCAGCTAGTTCATGTTTATAATCATTTCTGTTAGTTCAAGAAACAAAGAACTATAAATCATTTATTTTACCAAAGCAAATGCGATGAAATACAAAATGACGACTAAATGCACTAAAATCACTTTAACACCAAATATTACCACACACAAGCTGTGAACTGTGTAGTCAGTTTTCAGGTGTTTAAGTAATTTAGTGAATTCAGTCACAATTTTGTATTCCCACATAATTTGCAAAAGAAATTATTTATAACTCTTTTGGGATCAAAATTGGAGGATGAAGTCATGCTTTACACTATGAGAAGTTTTTTGGAGGGAGTAAGATGGGGGTGGCATTGGGTAGATGTGATGCAATGGCTATTTGATTGAGAGATAGTATGTTTGAAGATATTTGGGAAGAATAGATGGATAACTAGTGTCATTGGGTAAACAAGCACAACATAGAGATGAGGAAGGTTAACGCAATAATATCATACAGATACAACAAAAGAAATGCAACTACACAAGGTGAGCAAAATAACTCACCAGACTTCATATCCACTCTGTCAACTTTCCCATATCTACCGAAAAGCCGCTCCAATTCATTTTGTCGAGCATCATATTCAAAATTCCCACAAAAAATGGGCCTCATTTTCTGGTACAAGTTAGAATAAGCTATTAGTAAACATGCAAAATAATCTTTCACTGTCCAAATAAGAACGACAGAATGAATATGTTAAAAATGCAATAAGAACCAACTAACAATCCAACATCACCAAATTCTCACATGTACAAAAACAACAAGCATACCAGTTTGGAAAACACCACTGAACACCAAACATTCTTCAGAAGCAAAAACAACAAGGCGCTTAAAAACAAGGTAACTATGTTACGTTCATAGGCAAAACTCACAAAAAGCTCGGGTCTTTTGTGCATTAGTCTCAAACCATTATATTCAACCAGAAACTAAGACCTAGAAGTCACAAGAAATATCAACTATTACTGAAAAAAAAAAGGGCAATTCAGCTATGCATTTCACTAAAACCAGAAGTTCGGACCTAATTTAGCGAACGAAAAAAAAAATCGGCTATTCATTTCACGAAAACAAGATCTCCAATTCAAATTTAGCGAAAAAAGAATATAAAAGAATACAAAAATAAAATTGATAACCAAAGGAATTTCCAATTGGTGAAATACCGCTAAATAGACAACAAATTTATAAATTAATTAAGGAAAAGAAAGCAGAAAACGAAGACCAAAGTCGCAGAGCAGTCAGATCTACCGCTATAGAAACCCTAAATGTCAGATCCCCATTCGGTTGCCGAGAAACGGTAGCTAATAAAAAATTTGGGAAACAGCAACGCAAGAAGTAACCAGATCACAATTTTCGTTTCTTTCGAATTTTCTCGGGAACCAAGCGGAAACCTATGAAGCTTTTAGATAGGAAAACGATGATCAGGTTTCAGAATGTTTCTTACCTTCTCTTTTACAGACGACGATTTAAAAGCAACGGAGCCTCGAACCCTAGCGATGTGAGGGAAGTGGGTGATATTTCTTTGATTTGACCGAACCGGAGCCCTCGTGAGTGTAATAAATAGTACAAGAAAACAACGCTTTGGATATTGTTGAAAAGGACCCTGTATTTTAGTGTATTTATAAAATTGGTCCTTTCTGATTTATCGAGTCACTTTGATAAATAATAAAAATAAGGGGAAAATAAGATATTTTTATCATCTGAACCCACCACGTGCGCCGTGTCGGTTTGCCAAAAATATATTTGCCGGTTACAAGTCTGGGCTGAACATGACGGCCCAGTTTGGACTAGGTAGTCTTGGGTTCATTACTATTGGCCCAATAGTTTGGGTTAATTGAGTTTCTGGTCCCTGGATTCATAATTTGAAAATAAAATAAATAGTATTTTTTTTTAAAACAGAAATTATACATCTAGAAATATGCACAGGGAGCTTGTTGTTCAAGTGGTTAAAAATATTTACTCCTTTACCCGAGGTCGCAAGTTCGATTCTCTCTCCCTCAATATTGTTTGAGTGTTTGTACAGATAATTGACTTTGACTCGAACTTGTCTCTTTATGTATTACTCCAGCATCGTACACAAATAAACTCTTAATAATAATTTATTTTTCATACAAAAAGCAAATCAAATAAACCAAGGAGCTTCAGAGGAAGAACCAAACTGGGTGTCCCCTGAAAGAGATGCGCAACATTGATTTGGTCCGGCAAGAAATTAAAATTTGGTTGAACTTGTAATTGGTGATGAGGTTGAGGTTGTTGTAGTCCTTCCTTGTCCACCACTAGAGCTAATGAAGGCAATCTCAGCTCGTGTTTTAGCTAATTGGCATTCTGCCTTGTTTATTTCTTGATGTAATTGTGAAATAGTCTTAACACAACCATACACACAATCTCGTGTTCTACATTCAGCTTCATAACACAAAGTATCGGCTGCTTCACCTCTCAAATGGTGTGGTAGTTGCTGAAGAAGAATCATAAGTAGGGAAGAAATCATAGTTAGAGATTATATAAATACAAAATAATTTTCTCACAAGTTGGTAATTAAGTAAGAAAAGATGTATCGATCTTATACACAATATAGTTACATATGATAAAGATTTTGTCTAGTGACACTCAATCTTCACGAATCGAAAAGTGTCGGAAAAGAATCATTTGAACCTTTAATTTGTAGGATTATTACCTGGAGCATTTTGGCAACATTGCTGGCACCATAGATTCTATGAACAGAGGCAAATCTTTCAGGATTATTGGGAGGAAAATAAGGAAAAAATATGCAATCTGAAGGACATCTCCTTCTCAGATACTTGCAAGCTGCACAACGACCAGAAATCATGACCCAAAATCTCACCAAAATAGATTTTCTCAATCGTTTTGGAAGAAGAAATCTTAGAAAAGATTTGATTTGTGGTGTCTAAATCTTTTTGGAAGAAGAAATCTATTTGTATTGGGGCCATGTGTTTAGCTTTGGAAAGGATTTTCTCCAACGGCTAGTTTTTTATTGTCAAATTGAAGAAGATTGAGGAAATTTGATTGGGATGGTAATAGAATGGTAGACTTTTAATTAGCGTTTGGTTTCTCATTTTAGATTTTTTGGCTTATCACAAGATTTCCATTCGAAAGCTTTGGTATTGAACATTCCCATTATATATTTTTGGGAAGCTAACGGTGCAAGAGTTGACTAAATCTGATTTGTTTTAATTGTTCTGAAGAACTGATTTATTTCCTTCCCTTCTCTCTTTCTTTTCTTCTTCTTCTTCTTTCTCTCCGCCAGATTCCTTATAGCAAACACAGCCAAATTTCTCTCTGCTCCATAAACCACAAAGGTTACGAACTTTACCTTCTCTAGTTGAGTTTTTGAATTGGGTGATTTTTTTTTCTGCGTAGGGTGGGAATGTGCCTTTGTCTGAAATGTTGGGTACATTTGCTCTATCTGTTGGTGCTGCTGTAAGTTCACTGACTGCTTCTCAATTGGGGAAACTTAATTAAATTGAATTGATTTTGAAGTTTTTTTTTCTTTACACTGAAAACTGCTGAATTGATTTAGATTTTATATATGTAAATTTTAGGTGGGAATGGAGTTTTGGGCAAGATGGGCTCATAAAGCTCTCTGGCACGCTTCTTTATGGCATATGCACGAGGTTTGCTTCGAATTTTGCTACTTTTTGTTACCTCTTTGATGCCAACAAAATTTTGAGTTTGGAATTTTGTTTCTTTTCGTTCACTGGGAAACCAGCAATGAAAGAAACATGACAAGCTTGAGTTTTTATATTGTTTTTCCATTCAGTTTCTTAGCAACCAATCAGTGTTTGATATTTGATATGAACTTTAATTGCAGTCTCACCACCGACCCAGAAAAGGTCCATTCGAGCTTAACGATGGACTGAAACAGAGAGAGAAGAGATAATGAATCTGGAGGAGAGAAAGAAGAAGAAGAAAAGAAAGAGAGAAAGAAGAGAAGAAAGAAAGAGAGAAGGGAAGGAAATAAAAAATATATGTATTTTATAATTTTGGATTGATTTGACGATTATATCCTCAGATTTAACAGTTTTTTTGACGGAAGGACTATTTAAGAGCACCTATATTAACGTTAGGGACCATGAGTGATAGAAAAAAAAATTAAGGATGCAATCTGATAATTTCGCAAACGTCAATGACGTTTTGTGATAAAAAGCCTTGTTTTAATTGTTCTGAAGAACTGATGCAAGGGCCTTGTGTCACTTTGTGCTTGGTTGTTGTCTCAAGTGTGTGTGTGTGATTCATCCATCATTGTGTGTGTCACAAAGTCCATCAACAACAAGATCATTAGGGGAGTGAGTGAAAGTGTTTGTCCATTTTCACAACATGTACATGTCAAATTATAATGTCTTAGAAGGAAGTACATGTCAAATTATAATGTCTTAGAAGGAAGGAAACCATATAAAAAAGTCTTAAATTTGCAAAACACAAACTAGCAAGATAGCCAAAGTTATGTACCAATATTAGTCTCTACTACTATAGCTAACAAGTCATCTATCTAATCTAAATCCAATCAAACTAAGTTAAGAAACTTTTCAAAGGACTGGATTCGGATCGATCCTTGCTCGGCTTTTGACTGCTTTCAATACAAATTACATATCAGCATCCAATATGGCATTTAAGAAATCATCATCACAATCCTGCAAGAATTTAAGTAAAACAAAATGAGTACTTCATTAGCAAAAATCATCAAAGTGTTGGTATGTAATCCTTCAGCCGAAATCTTAAAAGCTAAAGGAATTGAGTTTTACATTTCAGTTTTGTTTTAAGTAGTCTATTATTTTTTCCAGTTATATTGTACACCCTTGGATCACAGTCCAAGTGTTTAGCAGAGAATGTAATAGCTTTGTGCCAGGTGTCATTATCTCATAGGGTAGTGAAATGAAGGGTTAGATTTGGTCTGATGTAATAAGGAATATTCTATTCCTAACAGTAACAGGTGCACAGTGTGTGCGTAAGTGAATTGCAATCAGCTCATTTTTGCTTCTTCTCATTTTTCTCTCAATCTCTCATCTCTGTTTTCCATTTTCCCTTACATCCAAAAATCAAAAGCTAATATTCCAGATTATATTCTGCGAATTCTAACACAAAGAGCCATTTCATATATCATATAAATGCGTGGTTGCTACAAATGACTATAAATCGAATTGTTGAGTTACCTGAAAAGGGTGCTCTGGATTAAATAATATGCTGTAGTCCTCTGAGTCAAAGACGTTGCCACCGAATTCGGGGTTGACGACTTGTTGATCACCACCCTCCTGCTGCTGCTGCTGCACACAGTCACACATTTGCCAGTAATTAGTATTATGATAATATAATATGTGTCTGTGAGAGAGAGAGAGAGAGAGAGAGAGAGAGAGAGAGATAAAGTATGCAATCAGTAGGCATGCCTGGTTCCAAGATTGTTCATTAGCTGCATTATCTTCGACATGGTAAGAGTCAGAGTTTGAAACTTGGTCCGCAGAAGGGTCCGGCACTTCAACTTGATATAAGAAACTAGCAAAGTCGGGAGGAAGTTGATCTTGATCTCCATCTTGTTGCTGCACACATTGAAATAAACAATTCTGTGGGGGAACAAAGAGAGAGAGAGAGAGAGAGACCAACATATATAGCTGAAATAATATATATTAACTAGGATGAAAGGAAAATCATAATTTCTGGTTTATTATATGCACCTGAAAAGGAGGAGGAGAAGGTTCATAGTTGTTCTGCTGATCCATAAACAGATTACTGAGCATCAAGTCATCAATGTCACTGACCAATTCTTGTTCATGAGTAATATTGTTGTTGTTGATCAAGGTAGGAAGAGCATCTGTAGTAATAGTATTATCCATGACACCACTATGAGAATTTTCAACATTTCCTCCTCCAACATTCATATTTGCCGGACCACATTGGTCATTAATATTCCCCGCCGGCGGTGGCAGCACTGGAACATTTTGTTGCTGATTATCACCATTGTTCTTAAGCAAACTTGGTGGAAATTGGTATGCAGAACTAGCACTAATCTCAAACCCAGCAGAAGAAGACATCGACGACGAAGAAGCACCCAATTGAGCCATGTAACCAGAATTAAAAATCCCATTATTGTTCCCAATTGGTGCACCAGTGAGACTCACATTTGGATATCCACCACCAATATTAATATTGTTAGTAATATTATTGAGCATCCCAGTTGGTTGACTACCCATTAATCCCACTAGCTCTCTGCCACTGCTGCTCATAATCTGGGATCCGGCAAAGTCACTAACCAGCTGGTGACTGGAGTTTGGCACCCGCTGGTTCACATTGTTAACATTAGACCCCATGTTCTCGAAGCTTGAAGACAATGTAGTATAACTTGAACTGTTCTGGTTTCCTGATGTAGCAAAGTTGTAGCTGAATGGGTTATTGGTGAAAGTGAAAACTCCATTCTGCCTTTGCTGACTTTGTTGTGGGTATACTTGCATCAAACTGTTTGTACCAATATTATTGTTCATTAGGCCAAAAGACATACCTCCATTGCCAAAAGTGTTCATCAATTGTTGCACCCCAAAAGCTGCCGTGCGGCGGTTTGCTTGGCAAAGCAGCTGATCCTCATTTCCATTACCAAGCATTGGTTGCTGGCACAGAATGTTAGCTTGATTGTTGCTCAATAGACGCGACTGGCCCGAACCAATAAGTTGAGGGAAAGATCTGCTGCTGTTGCTGCTTGAAGATTGATGGTAATTGGGGAATTGGATGGAGCCAAGGTTATTGGAAGCAGCAGCAGTGAGAGCTAGGGTGCTTCCATTTCCAGCTGATGGTTGAAATGTAGAGGCAATTGATGTTCCCATTTGCTGTGGGTTGAGGAGTTGTGAATAATATTGGTCTCGTTGGACATTGTTGAAGACTAGTGCTGGATGGCCAAGTGCAAAGCTTGACCTGAACACCCTCTCAGACAAGCACTTGGATAGCCTGGCTTTCTCCGCAACTCGTTTCAAGAAGATACGATACTTCTGCAAATTCATATAAATGTGCAAACCATCGTTAACAAGGTGAGATCTTGAAGGTTAAAAAAAATGTTTTTAGTACATGCATATATATAATTTAAAAAAAGGAATTTTTCAATAAACACTAGAATGATCATTAATATATTTAGCTACAAGATGCGTGTCTCATATAAAATAACGTTTCTTTCTTTGCATGGAATGTGAAGTGAAAGAACTTTTTTTTTTTTAATTTTTAAATATTCCTAATAGAAAAGGAAATCACATAAAATTTTAGCTAATATAATTGATTAATTCTAATAAACTAATTGAATAATAACAAACCTGCAAATGGCTAGCAACATTTTCTCTAGTTAAGCCTGGCACATTCATGAACTCGAGAATCCTCTTTGGCACAGCCTCTGCATGAACCCAAAAGGAAAAGGAGAAAAAAGGCATACAAATGTTATCAGATTTAATTATTACAATGCAAGCTATACGTATAAACACATATAATTCGAAAGGAAAGAAAAGATGAGATAATTGGTAATAAGCAAAGTCGCATACTGTCCAAGCCAATGTGTCTGATGGCCAGCAGAAACTGATTGTGAAGTGAATTTGTCCACACAACTTTTGGCTTCTTTGGGGCAACCATACGTTCTTCATTATCGTCTTCCCTGTGCCTCTTACGTGCCTTTTTGACCTTGGACTCGGCTTTTTTCTCCTGTTTTTCTTCGTCGGTATCAGAAGATGTCTCAGAACTTCCATCCTCGACCTCACCAGGTGCTTCTCCTGGAGCACTTTCTATTTCCTCTATGGTAACCGATTTACCCTTTTTAGCTGCAACAGCATACTGCCACACATTCTTAATGTCATCTTTGCTCACAGGCTTTACTATATAGTACACAACTCCACCCTCTAAACTCTTTAGTATCACACTCTCTTTGTCATCTGCGGACATCACTGCGTTGAGAAAATTAACCAAAGTCAGTTTTATTAAGGATATGTGTGAGATTAGTTTATTTAATTACTACTTAAAATTAACACTCACTAATAACAGGTAGCTTAAATTCTTCATGGACATGCTTTTGCAATTCAAACCCATTCATCTGAGGCATATGAAGATCTGTAACAACTAGATCAAATATGCCTTTCCCTGCTCGAAGGGTAGCCAAAGCATCGATCGGGTTTCTAACAGAGACAACTGAAAATCAACAACCAAATGTTAGTGTAGTATATATATATATATATATATATTTAGTTGAATAAAGGAATTAATTAAATCTTGGAAAATTAATGAACGATGTAGTAAAACATTTAACGTTCTTATATGTGTATATATGGCATGGATTAATGAAATCACATTTGGACCCTCACAAACACACACATCTATATGCATGAATCAAGGATTTACTCTAAGACCTTATATATACCTGATGAAGGAGTGGATCTCCTAAGGCTTTTTCTTATTATAAAATAATAATAATAATTTTGCTACCCTTTGATTTCAAATAGGGAAACCAATATACCCAACAAAGGAGTAAAATTGTGACTTATAAGGGCCTTTTCTTATTATAAAAGAAATAAAGAAAAAAAGCTACGCTTATTTGCCAAGGAAATCAATAATCATCACCATATACAAGATATAATAAAATTGTCTAATTGGATGCACATTCATCCCCTTTTGTTTGAGTAGGGAAAGTTAAACACACAAAAACCCTAATGGCATATCACATATATTTAGTTTTCTTATCAACCATTCTTACAGAAAAAAGCTGCTGAAAATGTCCAAAGAATTCTCTTGGATATCCATCGAAACAAAAGAAAAGAAAACCTGAAAACCTGAAAACCTGTGATCTAATTTACCTAGTACAGGATGAGATCTAGATCTAGTGAAAGGGAAAAGGTTGGATTTAAAAAACATAACTGAGACTTCAATTTTTGTAAGGAATTAAGAAAACAAGCGCAACTTAAATTCTCGCTTATAGTGAAAAAGACATGCAAACAGTCTTAGAAGAAAAAATATATATATAATTCCACTCTTGTAATGTAAAGAAATTGACTAATAAAAATGAAACTTGTCGTGGAATTGAGCAACAAACATGAATGCATAGAAAGTCTTGTCATAATCCTAACCATACACACGAGATCTAAAAAGGACATGCAAGAATCTATATATATACCTTGGTAACTCCATGTTTTAAGCATTGCTGAAACTATAGCTAGAGTGGTTGCATCGTCGTCTACAACCAAGATATTGATCATATCTACGAAAGAGGGTTTGGTATTTGCAGCAGATTGCCTAAACTCAGACCTCTCTGTAGCCGCATCCATGGCTGGAATGAATGAAGTGTCTTGAAGCACACTGAGAGGGGGTATATATAATACCAGATGCTTCTGGGTTAAGTCAGCAGTGACATCAAATGAAGATGCAACATGTGTAAGAAAACGGCTTATAATTTAAAGAGAAAGGGAGCTTGTCTTTATCCAAATTCCCTCTCTCTCTCTATTTCTCAGACAATTGCATGCAGTGCAGAAATGTGAGTTACAAAGATGACATAACATACATGCATCGCCCCCTTATTTCACACAAATTAATGGAAATATCTAGAGTGAAATAGACATTTATTTTGTTTTACCAAACATGGGAGGTTCTAATTACATAGAGTTCTTAGTGAAGAAGATTTCACAATCTTTCAATTTAATAGCATGCCACGGAAGTTTGTCTTCCAATTTTGGACTATAATTTCAAGTTTTCAAACGGGATGAATATCATTTTATTTGCAATTCAAATTTTAAAAAATTGGCTCGTTTTCGAGAGAGTATTTAATTCGTTTAGTTAAGTTAAGATGCAGTTAGCATATATGTTTGTTAGTTTCAACTTCTACAACATTTGAATGCTCCAATTTATAGTCAGACAAGTTACTTGTCACATATTGAATTAATATGTGTATATGTTCTATTAGATTTCTAGTGGCTAGCCAATTTATATCAAACTAGATAGCTTCTCCTTAAGTTCTCATCTCTAGCTTGTGTTTAAGAATGTGGAGTGTGGCTAGGATTTAGGGGTTTGTATTGAAGATTTACTAGTTCAAGTTTAATTGAAGAATTATTTCCATCACATAATGAAATATAGAATGTCTTAAAACAACTGTTCAACAAACTAACAACTTAACCAGAAACTGTTTATTAAACTAACTATTAACGCCCTAACGAATAACGGTTTTTTAACCTAACGATTAACTGATCAAACGAATAACTGCTTGTTAACCTAACGATTAACGGCCAATCATTTGTTTGATACAAATGTGCTAGCGTCGGTCACCACATGTTGATGGAAACCGAAACTGTTCAAGAACTACCAAATGCATTTAATTTTGGAAAAAGAATTCCTTCAAGTGTTACTCTGTTGATTGCTTGACAAAAGGAAGGAAAATATAAGTAAAGGGTTAGGTCTCTTTAGTTTCACTCAGAACTACTTCATGTAAGATCTCTAAAATGAAAACTTAAAAACTCTTTGTCGTAAGAATATTATTGATCAAAAATGAAATTTTGAAAATGAGGTCCGTTACAGCAGCATTCGTCGGGAGAAACGTGGACAAATTTCACTTTTTTTTTTTAGTAGTTTTTAGATTTGAATATAAATGCTGGTAAATGTTGCTGGATTTTGTACTGTTTGCACTTTACAGCCTCAGGTTTTTTTGTTTCAATTGGAGGGAAAGGGATTTTTACGTAAGTAAGACAAATCTTGGCTGGAACCTGAGAAACTCTGCCAATTGGTGGCCTAATAGGGCTGGCTTAAGTTACCATTAAAACTAAAGTTAATTTGTTCATATTATAATTACTGTCATCAATACAGAATCTCAGAACCAAAACCAGGATTAGGCGATTGGCTCCTGGTTTCTGAAACCACTAATTTCCTTGGTTGAGTTGAGTCCATTGTTTTACAAGCAATTAAGTCATGTAAATGACAACATTGCCTCTGTATTTAGCGTGGTGTTCATGCATCAAGCACAAACCCTGCCATGCATCTGCAACAGCTAGCGCACACAGGTGAAACATTTTCAGTGGTTGGTTTCCACTAAAGGAAGAAAATCAAAATCCAGGACTATTTATTACATTCCAAAAATTTCACCTCCTTTAGATATGACTGGCTAAATTGTCGTGGATTTCGTTTAATGACATCCCTATCACTTAATTAATTACTAAAGGGCTGGCAATGGCATGTTTATTTTGAACATAATCCTGAGTTGGTTTATCATATAAATAAAGCTGGTTTGACATCCTTATCCAAGCAGTAAAAATCTTAACAACAAAGTAAAGTACCAGCTGTAATTTTTTTGAGGTGCCTCTGAGCAACTGTGCAAATTTGTATACAAAAAGAAAGACTGTATTTTCAGCCATTTGAGATTTCAAATCTACTCTACTCTATAACCCACCTTTTATCTGCTCATATAATGCCCACAGGAGGGTGCCAATGACAGTGTCTCTGACCAAATCCTGGACCAATTTGACAACCCATCTGCCATTAGAACTAGCATCAGTACCTTGACTTGAAGGCCTCTGTCCTACAAGGTCCCTAAACCGCAGATCTCCCAGGTCAGCTAGCAATGCATATATTACACCATTCATGTGTCCCTTTCCAATAACCCCCACCACTCTCTTACTCTTATTCACAGCTTTGCTCCTCTTTAGAGACCATGCAAGGTACTGAAAACACCAGCAAGCAACCACAATATCACTAGGTAGTTGGGGCCTTTATTTTTACTAGCTACTTTAGAGACTCATCATGCACAGTTCAAGTCACTCAAGATTATATATATAGACAGTAAACTAATTAATAAGGCTTAAAATCATATTATGGTTTAAATTACGATACGTATTACTTACAGTGTCTCGTTCATGTATCAGAGGCTGGAGGAGTGAAGGATATGAAGAACTTAGCTGCTCATAAAGCTGAAATGTGCCATCATCACTTGCACTTGATTCCTACAGAAAAAATGTAACAAGAAAGAAAATTTCAGGACACTGCAAATGTTCTGTTTGAATGAATCAATAAACTTATGATGATCTAGAAATTGTTGAATACTTCTACATTATTTAAGTTCCATTAAACCTGTTATAATTTCAGAGATGTCAAAAGGCTAATGAAAAGAAAACCTTGAGATTCTTTTGGGACATATCAGATGGTGAGGTTATCCCACGAACAACTGAGGCCACCAAGCTCAGTTTCTCTGTCCAATTCAGAGAATTCCAAGCCCTTTCAAGCTGCAAATACAAGTTAAACATTTTTCAACGAAATGATGAAATGTACAGGTCAAATACAGTCCTCTGTTGCAGCAGGGTTTAAATTTGAGCATAGTACAGTAATTTCAATCGGCCGGTCCCCCAGAACTATTTGAGCACCAACTTCTTCAGAGACCTTTCGAGCAGCACGGAACTGCAATTAATCAAATTAATATCACAATGACATTCATTTTCAGCAGTACATTACACATCTTTAATAAATTTAATTGCATTCAACTACCTCATCACCAAAAGGACGATTGGTATCTGACGAGATCTTTGATGAGAAAACCGCCAAAAGTACTCGTAATGCCAGAGCAGTTTGACCCCCTGTCACGTAAAATTCAATGTAAAGTAACTTGATTTCATGTCAAATAGATTGACGTACAAGAAATAAGTTTTTTATTTTTTATTTTTACGAAACGTTTTTCTAATGTACGGAGAGGGAATCGAACTTGTTTTGTTACCTAAGTTTATGCTCCGACCAACGGCGCCAAAAAACCCAGTTCCAGTCAAAGAGAACATATTTGACCTTAATTGTTGGCCTGCCTCACCATCCATGGAGGCATTAGCATACATAATCCCAGCTCTGAAATTGGGCTCTGCAACAATTTAAGTTAAGATCATCCCAAAAAAAAAGAAAAGAAAAGAAAAAGGAACTGCTCATCTTATAATCAGGTGACGCTTTAACATTAATTTCCAAGTAACTTGCCTGCTTCTGCAGAGCTCAACCACCACATTGTCTGGCTTCACTGCCCGGACAACGCGCTCAACCTCCAGAGCAGAGTCTTGAGAAATATGAGTGGTGCCAACTAACCAGATGGCCTCCGGTTCGACGAACTCGGTCCTCCAGGCCGGAACTGGACCGAACCGGCTCTTTTCGATGAAGAACAAGGTCCCATTTTCAGCCAAATCAAGCAACTCAGGGTGAGTTTTGGCTATTGTGTCTTTTGAGTGGTCTGAAATTTCTGACCTGAAATTGAAGTCTGGTGGTGGAGGTTTGATGGAAACCTTGAAGGGTTTAAGAGGCCTGGGAGTGAGGAAAACTGGGTTGGTTTGGAAAATTGGGAAGGTTGATCGAATGGTCTCCATGGATGATCTGAAAAAACTGTGCGTTGTTTGCTCAGAGTTGTACAGTTTTAGATAAGGAAACTTACATTTAACGGTCAGACTGAGAAACAGAGAAAAGATGCTTTATTTCTTTATTTTATTTATTTATGTAAAGAGTAAATGTGGGTCTTTTGTGCCCATAAAAAAGGGGGATGTGGGTCTGTTTTATTTCTTTCTATTTTTTCATAACAACAAAAAAAAGGGTGATGACAGAAGACAATCAAGCAGTAACATGTGAGCAAATTTTAGTCCTGTGGATAATGACTTGGCTTGCTAGGGTAGAAAAAGTACCCAAATTGTTTTTATTTATTATTTTTAAATAATGAAACATGACAACACTTTGTTTTCCAGTCTTTGGTTCACAAAAACTCAGGTTTGGATTGTGCATGACCTAAATTCAACCCGTGTTAAAAGGAAATCTTAAAAATCCCTAAAATTGTTGAAATTAGTATTATTTTATTGAAAAGCACATGTGATCGTATTATAATAATAACGATATTAGCAATCTGAAAAAGAAAAAGGATCCGAATCTCCATCGGGGAAAAAGAAGAAAAATAAAAGAAAGAGATCCGTACAGTGGACACCAGACACAGAGATGGACGGAGAGGGTGGTGTTGTGCTGATTGCTGAGTGAGTGCTGAGGATGATGCAATTAAATTATAAATATCACCCCAACAAGAAAGAGGGAAGTTTGATACGTGAGTTTGACTGACCGGACCAGATCGGTACCACCACCAGCTAATCGCTAGCTAACTTTACTCTTAATTAATACGTGTGCGCTCTGTGGCCTCACCTCACATCACCACCATCTCACTCGTTAATAAAAAGTACTAATTATTAAACACTCTTTTGTCACACCACCATACCATACATGGAAAATGTCAGAAAAAATAAAACAAGAAAAGCAATTAGGTTATCTCCGCGATTGCCCCACGCTTCTTACAAAAACAAAACCCCGTTTATATATGCATTCTCACGACGGGACCATGGTCATGAATTCATAAATATATATATAATACAAGCAAACATATATGATATATACATCATACATGCACAACTTGTATGTGTAGTTGATATATTATTTATGGCCGATCCGTATCGTAACGTGCCCAAAAGTGACCAACCAACTCCAACCTCCAATTCTTCCAACCCTGCCTTTATACAACTTCCTCCTCCTGCTCCTCCTGATCCTACTCCTCCAGCAGCACACGATCGAGACTCCTCATCGTCGCCTAGACCAGGCCCCTCGGGCGCCTCCACATCGTCATCGCCCAGGGGCCATCCTGTGTACAGGGGAATCCGGTCCCGGAGCGGGAAATGGGTGTCCGAGATTCGGGAGCCGCGTAAGACGACGCGCATATGGCTTGGGACGTACGCCAAGCCGGAGATGGCGGCGGCTGCGTACGACGTGGCGGCGATCGCTCTGAAGGGACCTGATACGGCGCTGAACTTCCCCAACTCGATTCTTACGTATCCGATACCGGCTTCCTCTGCTGCGAGTGACATACGCGCTGCGGCGGCTAGGGCAGCTCAGTCGAGGCCGGAGATGATATCTGCCGGCGAGAGCGGAGGGAGATCGGAGCCGGGTGGGGTCAAAAATGAGGAGGGTAGGGTTGGGCAGGAGGAGGAGGAGGAGGAGGAGTTTATGGATGAGGAAGCGCTTTTGAATATGCCGAATTTGCTGGTGGACATGGCGGAGGGAATGCTGGTGAGCCCCCCGAGAATCTCTTCCGAGGACTCGCCTGGGAATTCCGATGGAGGAGAAAATCTCTGGAGCTATTAATTGATTAGTTTTCTTTGAATGCTTTTTGGATTATTATTCAGGAATCAATAAGCAAATTTGTTGGTGGATATCATCAGTGCTTTGAGCTTAATTCGGACGAAAATTAAGGGTATGATTCTCTTCTGTGTGTGTGTATTTTTGTGGAATAATTTTTGTGCAACGATATATGCATTTAGATGCTAGCTTCATCTGTACTGCAGCTGATTTGTGTTGTACTAGCTCTTGGAATTAATGGTTAGGTGCTCGATTTTGTTACTATCCTATAATAATTAGTTGTATGTATTAATTTGCCGTATAACAAAGAAGAAAATTTGCTGCTTGCTGTAACTAGTCTAGATGTTGATGGATGGATGGATGGATGGAATAAAATCTTCCAAAATCTGCTCCTCAATTTTCTTATTTCCTTTTAGGGCTTGCTGATCGAAACCTTTGAAATAACTAAATTCACTGACTGACTGAAAGTCTGCAGAATTCATGTTATTATATGTTGCAGTCTGAGTTCCATAGATTCAGTTAAGTTATAGGCTACAGACACACCAGAGGCTCACAGCTAGCTATATATAGATATATCTAGACAGTGGAGAGAATATAATATAATAATTGGGTTTGGTTTTCAGATGAGAATTAGTAAATATGAAGGAGAAAGGAGATACGAGAAGCAGGCAATGGCAATTGATTAATCCCATGTGTAGGTATATAGCTAGTATACTCCTTGCCTTACGTACGTACGTATTTGGTAAGCACACAATTCAATACTAGTTTTAGAGAGAGAGAGAGAGAGAGAGAGAGAGATTAGTGGCTTAGGTCGAAGAAGAAGCAATTACATGTGTAAGGCAACGCTCTATGTGGCGGGGCGGCCCCTGTCAACTAACAATCAGCGTGGCCTTGTCCTTGTCTCGCATATCCATCCAAATGGAAAGATTTGTACAAAGATTCTTTCTCTTGGAATCAAACATCATATCTGTTATATATGTTGTATTAATTCTATACTCAAGAATGGGGAAACGTCGGTCTTAGTTTGGAATATAAGCAAGCAATCGATGGAATCAGTCTCAAAATTCAACATAGATGAGCTTAACAAATGTATTGGACTTTAGTTTCAGCTGGTTTATATCTTCTCCACATATACATCATAAAAGATTTCTAGGGTTCCAGTCGACACTACTCCTTGGTTACGGTGCATAAATGAAGTTTCAATGCCAACAAATTAAGACAAAACATGCAATTTTGGAATTTTTGTTTTCATAAATGGGGATTAGAGCATTTGAGATTGGGATTTCAATATTAACTTTTGCAAATAGTTTATAAGGTATAATTTTTCTTTCATAAACACATCCTATTATTATTATTGATTTATACTCTTCTTGGCCTGTAGTGAAACAAGCAAATGAACTTTTTACATTATTTTTTAAACTAATTATATAAATATCTTCTTTGTACGGTTAATTCTAAGAGACTAAAAGTCACAAATGGTCTTTTTGGTTTACCGTAATTGTCACTTTAGGTATTATTTGGTTAATCTTACCCTTATAATTTACTTTCTTTATCAATTTTAGACAAATGTTCAATTTTCTTAATTTTTTATAATTTGGTGGTCAGGTGTGCACATAACATATTACTTTGTATGCAATATTGGAAGAGCTAGATTAAGTGTTAGAATGCAGCTTTGGGGAAGACTTAGAGATATGCAACCCAATATTTTTAGGTTTACTTAGAGCGAAATTGGACAAGAAAATATTACATGTTGACCCTAAGATATTCAAATTGATGAAATTCAATATTTAACCAAAGTTGATAAAGGGAGTAAAGAATGTGAGCAAAATTAAGAAAATTAAAACAGGAGTAGTAAAAGTAATAATTACAATAAATATGTATACATGCATGTCAATAAGCCTCACATGCCCGCAGGTAGCGAGAGCTATTTTGACATAAAATTCATGCACAAATTACCTCGAAATGTACCACTAGCCCCTGCTGTCGATAGCGTAATTTATAAAAAAAAAAGATAAGAATGCGGGTGACAAAAAATGGCAATGGTATTTCTTCCGGAATCTCTCTCTCTCTCTCTGATGATCTCTTTTAACTCTCTCTCTGACAAAAGAAAAGATGCGATCAATTTCTACTTACAGAAAACTTATTGCCGTTGGTTTAAATGCATCCACAATGATGCTTGCATTTGCTTTTTAATAATGAAACTCTGAGTGCCTTCTGGTTGCTATTTAAACCAAAGCATCATCTAGGGTTGAGCACACGGTTTTAACCCTCTTGCCGAACTTGAGAGAGAGAGAGAGAGAGAGAGAGAGAGAGAGAGAGAGAGAGAGAGAGAGAGAGTTTTTGAATTCCTTAATTTGATGCTAAAGATGACATATCTTAATCGAATGATGAGAATCGGCAAGCAGTTAAGACACAAGTTTCTGTGATCACATCACACATGAAATGCAGTATTTGCAGCCTTGGTTATGCTAGCATTTCAGCTTTGCATTCAAAACAACAGTGAAAAGGGATGGCACGAATGATTAAATTTTGTTCAAGCAGGCAACAGATTGGCTTTTCCTATTTCTCGAAACAGCGAGAATGTAGATCAACTTGTTAAAAATTAGGGTATGAAAAAGTGGCGGTCCTCAAGACACACTAAGGTTAGGTTGAAATTATTAGTACAAATAGAGGTATGAAAAAGTGGTGGTGCGAGCGACTAGATCTGCTTTAAAAAGTTGCGAATGCTGTCGGATCGTATAATGGGAAATGGATAAATTCAATGCATCAGGAGGACGACTGTTCCTAAAGCGGCTACAAAAATTATATCAAAAACCAAAGAACAGAAAGCTTGCGGGATTAGCTTTACCTTTTCTATATATATATATGGGGTAAGGTAAAAACAAAATGTACCTGTATTAAAACAATAATAATACTAAAGATATGAAACTATTATTGACATTTTAAAAAAAGACTTGTTGCGCTCTCCTATTATTAAAATATACAAAGCATAAATTTCACTGTAAAGAGTGCATGATAACCTTTTTGAACATGCCACAAACCGATATAATACAACATGGCTACATTGACCATTTGACCTTTAACTTTATAGAGACAAAATCATCACCCCTTAGATTTCTAATTTCAGTAAAGAAGGAGGAGGAGCACACAAATAGATGTTGATTCGATATGGAGTCTCCCATGTCGGCTGGCTCGGAGGAAGAGAGCACTAGCTAGCTCTAGTGGTGTTGTTGGCCTTCCAATGGATGCTTGGCTGATCCTGATCCCACCACCATTTAATTACATCTTGGCTGATCCTGTACAAGCTTTGTACGTAGGTTTGAAGACAAATGTACAGACAGGTATTTATAGGTTCTTTAATCCTTTCCCTCCTGCAATTTAACATGGCATGTGATAAAGTGATGAGAATGGGGACTTTGAGTTATAAACTTGTAATTTCTTAATTTTATTTACCATGTCATGTTTTTCTTGACAAACCGTGGGATATTTGCAAACTACTTTTACAACTACAATACACACATAACAAAGCTTTTATTTTGTTCGGAAGATGAACTTCATTTCAAAGCCCAAAACGGGGAGGGCACAGTAACAACAAATAGAGAAACCCAATAAGGAAGTTAGAGAAACTAACTAATCTGCAATATCAGATAAACAGGAACAAATAGTCTGATATCATCAGATAAACAAACTTAAAAAAGACAAAGCAAGTTGGATTAAAAGGAGCAAAAGAACCCAGTAAGCAAAACAACATCAAACTCAAATGAAACACTAATCCACCACAAAATCAGCCACCATAAGCCAACCACTATCATAGCAGCCCCAAGGCAAGGGAAACAGGACCATGAGATTGGAAATAGGTGGTGCAAG